GTAAAAAGGTTTTGCCGAATGCCAACCCCTGCTATTCTCAGCTCACAAAATTCCTGCATTTCATCTCAAAAATTAAGCTCTTATGACTTTTGGAGAATCTTTAACAGTGTCTATAATTAGGACACACCTGTTATTTTACCTTTCTTGCTTGGTTCAGATTTTGTTACATCACCTAAAGACAATGCTGAATTGTTTGCTAAAAACTTTTTATCAACATATCTTTTGATTCTACTAATTTAAAGTCCAAATATCCAAAATAATTTCCTGCTTAGAGACTCCTTGTGGTTAAGAAAACATACCTAGTTTAGCAGAAGTGTTTTCTGGAGATTTAAGCTTTCAAAACTATTTAACAAGTGCTTATCAGAGTCCTAATTTCCACTCTGCTGGAAAACGACATTGGTTATCATTACTTTTGAAAATTCTGGAGAGCAATCTGTCTAACAACTTTCTTTTATAAACAAGGTTTTTGAGTCTTAAATTAACAAACACTTAATCTCTCGTCTTAAATCAAATAACTTACTTTATGAAAATAAATATGGATTTTGATCTTTGTTAAGCTAATTTGTTAATGGTAATAACTGATAGGTTTTATCTAGCATTAGATAGATGTAGAGAAGTTAAGGCTATCACTCTGGACATTTCTAAAGCCTTTGATAAAATTTGGCATGCTGGTCTTCTCCATACGCTCACTTCTTGCGGTGATGTGGTGGCTGTTGAACTTTAACTTGGATTCAGCAAATCATTATCGCAACAATTTAGATCTTCTTATACTCATGAATGAAAATGTATTTAATGTAGATTAACTCTTACTTCTGATCTTCCTTTAAAATCATATCAAATCCGTTGCAAAATGAGTATCTACAAAGTTTGAGTTTAAAAAGAAATGTAAATATGCTTTTAGGACTAAGACCTTTTTCAGTATAAAACATATTTGTAATAAGGCTAGGTATTTCATCTTCAGTCACATGATTAATAAAAGATAATTTGTTATTTAGAATGTTAAAAAAGTTATAGAAGAGGTTTGGGGGTATGGCTTTGCTAAATAGTTTTGTATTGGATGGTACTTTCACCAATACAAAACTATTTGTATTGAATGAAAGTAAATAAAATTTGTTAAATATATTAGATACAGCATAACAATATTTTTATTTAAATAACTAGAAATTGTGAAATAATGAACTGGTAATACCTGGTTATACCTTTCTAATAAGGAAAGACATTATACATAATATTAATAAAAGACATTCCTAATAATCTCAGGCATTATATATTCTTGATAATAAAAGACATTACTATTAATAATAATGAAAGAATCTTCCTAATTTTTTTAAACTATTATTTTCTTATAAGTGAATGAAGAAACTCAGTGTTAACTTTTTAAATATTATAATATAAAATATCATTATAAACACTCACTTGGTAATGGTGCAAATATTGTTGTTTTTTTCTTCCCAAAAGCAACTTGAAAAAATTTACCAGTATAAGCTTCAAACTGGCTTAATGGCCTAATAGCAATAGCTTTGTTTACAATCAAAGCAATGTGCATTAACTGCCTTTGATATATCTTTAATCCCATTTCAATTATCAACTCAGGTCTTTGGCTGATGTAAGGATAAAGTATACTATAGTAAAAATGTGCTTTTTCTGATTGTATTTTTATTAAATTGTCTATTTTACTAATGTAACTTTGAATGATAGGTTCAATTTGAACTTCTAATAACTTATGAATAGCTCTAAATTTAAGAAATTCTTTGTTTATGTAACCTATTCTTTCAACGGTTAAATGTAAACCCTAAAAAAATAAAAAAATTTAAAAAAATAAAAAAAGTAAAAAAATAATGGTTGGAAAACCATGATATATAAGGTCATTGTTGGCCTAAAGTTACCAACATAGCCGTTACAGATTTCCTTCATATAAAAAGCTGTGATGAGCCATCATTGGTCACTGCTCATCATGGCTTAAATACACTTTAAAAGGTATATAAAAGAAATTTGGTCTTCCAAAAATTATTCAAATATATAATGAAATAATGTACACCATAAATATAAATAATACAAATTGTTACCCTTAATTTCTTATATAATTTGTATATTTCACTCTGAACAGCATCATAAGATTTTTGCCATTTAAATAAGTAACTATCATTATTTTCTTTATAAATTTGACTTAAATTCAATTTAAATTGGCATATGCTTCCATCAAGGTATGTGACGATGTAAGCTACTTGAGGGTATATAAGTTGTTTGGTAAACTGCTTAAAATCCATTATTAAATACTTAAACGAATTCTGTATCAAGTGCAAATCGTCAGCATCAATAAACTTGCCTTTAATTTCTTTCATAAATAAATCAAACTTTTTAGTTAAATTACTCTTAACACCAAAAGAGTGAACTGCTTCAATTTTCTGACTTCTTACGTTTCTGGAAATGTTTGATAAAATTATAAGCTTTTGCTTGAGATTAACATTAACAATATTACTTTCAGAGTTATTTATTAACTTCTCAAGCAAAATGTTATTTTGTGATACAACTGGAAAAGTTTCAAAAATTAATTTTTTAGAACTATTTCGTAAATTCTCAATAACCTCTTGCACAAGATCTGCTTTTTTTGCCATTTTGTTTATAAGTATTTGATGAGTATTTCGAACTTTACCTTCAAGCATATGTAAACGATGAGTGTGTATGGTTCGATTCTTCCTAATATTTTCAGAGAGCTGGTCAAAAATATTTTTTGGTATATTTTTTACATAACTTATTGGATTTATAACAAACAATTGATTTGAAAACTGTGCCTTCATTTTATCAATATTTTTCATAGTTATGAGAGTTGTATGTTTCAAATGATTTTTAGAGGATTTTATAGCAACTGGAATATTTTCATTAAGAAATTTGTCAACAGATATCATAGTAAAATGTTCAAAGCGAGTAACTAAATAACTTTTAATAATTTTTAAAAAGTCTTGCTCTTCCAAACTCAAATATTGTTGATGAAATCTATATGCTTCAAAATACTTTAACGAAGATAATAACGGTAAAATAACATTGAAAGTAATGTTATGTAACACTAGTTTTGATTTATAATTAGTGTTTCTGAATGCTGTCAACAAACCAACACCCTAAATTATATAATATTTAAATATATAAAAACTTTATAACAATAAAAAAAAAGCAAATCTTTCATGCACTTATTTATTTGCATGTATTTTAATATGTAGGCATATTATATATACATACATTTATATATATATATATATATATATATATATATATATATATATATATATATATATATATATATATATATATATATATATATATATATATATATATATATACATTTATCTTACTATATATATATATATATATATATATATATATATATATATATATATATATATATATATATATATATATATATATATATATATATATATATATATACATTTATCTTACTATATATATATATATATATATATATATATATATATATATATATATATATATATATATATATATATATATATATATATATATATATCTATGTATGTATGTATGTATGTATGTATGTATGTATGTATGTATGTATGTATGTATGTATGTATGTATGTATGTATGTATGCATATATGTATGCATGTATGTATGTATGCATGTTTGAAAGTATATATGTATGTATGTATATTTATGCTCTGTGGACCATTCAATGACCTATTTTATATAGGAAATTGTATAAATCAGCAATATTTTTCAGTGTTTTTGACAGAAATGCACTTAGTTGCTCTAAAGTAACTAAGTTTTGTTTAAGCAGCCTTCAGACTACAGAATACTATTCATATAAGTAAAAGTATTTTTCCAATTGCGTATGCAAAAGCTCAACTGAAAGTGATTGATTAATACAAACCTGCATGAATCAATCAACTTTATCCTTACTTAGTAAACAAAATGCACCATTCCACTTCATGGTACACAAAATACACAATTCCGCATCATGGTAAACCAAATGCACCATTCCACTTCATGGTACACAAAATGCACCATTGCACTTCAATCTCAAGTTCTTTTTTTGAAGATAAGTGTGAAAATATATATACTTTGACTTAACCAAAGAGTTTGATAAAGTCACTCTCTACTTATCTATAAAATTTGTGCATATATTTTTGATGTGTCCAAACAGATAAATGCATTCTTTTCTAAAATAACTTTCGGAATCCAACATTAATTTGTTTTCAGAAATAGTCTAACAAGTAAACTTTATGCTAATAACTTTGAACTCATCACAATCAACCATCTAACATCAAAAATTACAAATCAGCATTAGTCAACCTGTAGCTAACTGGTCAGGTTCTCTGAAAAATTAAACTAAAAGACAAATAAAAAGTCTTTCGACAAACATCACCACACATTTACAACACAACATCAGCTAATAAATTTAAGGATACACCCTTTGCTTTACACCCTTTAGCTTAACCAAGACAGACAAAACAGACAGCATATACTTTCTATATTTCTAGTTATAGATTAAGTAATTTAATTTATTAACAAAATATGAAACAAATTATATGTAATATGTAATATTTATAACAACTATAAAGACGAGTAATTAAAAAGTAAAAGTTTAACAAAAGAAAATAAAAGAACTTTTGTTTTTTCATCTTTTTTAATAAATTCGTTATTTGCAATGTTTAGATTTTTCTTCCTATATGCTTTTTTTGGCAAAATTTTGTGTAAAAATACACACAAAAGCACACTAGAGACACTTAAAGTAAGTCTAAAAGATATATAAAATATTACTAACTAATAATAAAAATAAATAATTAAAAAAATATATATATACAATAAAAAGTAATCATAAATGACAATGAAAATGACTACAAATATCATAATTCAATCAAAATAAACAAAATGTATACTGTTTTATGAGAAACCAACGCTTCTGTTTTAGCTTCATCAAACAACTTCAAAACAATGTTATCCACTTGATTTAAAACTTTGTCTAAAAACATATCATCTTTTTTTAATCTAATAATAATACCAAGGTGTTTACGAATGTTACAAGCTGTTGTGTTAAACTCTGATTTCCCATTGACATAGTTAATTACTGGAAATCGAACTAATGTATTGTATTGAAAAGTTTCATTGGTTTCCAGTTTTTTTAACAGATCTAAACAAGCATGATCATGGTCGTCAAAAAAACTCCGAAATTCAGGATTATACTCTTCAATTAATGCTAGTAATCCATCAATACCAGGAACAAATACCTCAATCAAGAACTTTATAAATTTGTTCTGTTTTTGATTTTTTAAATTGTCTTTAAGATACTGAAAACCATTACTTACGCTGTGCTTTCCATTTTCTAATAGCCTGATATACTTTGATAAAAATATGTCCAAATAATCAGAAGTTGCTTTAGAAAATTGCATTAACTTTGGAATATATTCATAAATGATCAAATCAATACTTTTATTTCCAATTTCAACTTGGCCCATAATATGAAGAAGCATACTTATGTAAGCATCTATTGTAGAATTGTTTAAGCTATTTAAATCAATTTGTTTGTAGCTATCAATAAACATATTGATATCAGAATAATTTACAGACTGTATGATATAAATAAGGTTGCTTAAAGTGTTTATTAAAGAGTAGTTTCCAGTCCACTTGATTGATTCATCTAAAAGATACTGCTCCAAACCATTCAATAACTCACTGACATGTTTAATGTTATCTTTACTGGCAAATTTTTCATTCCAAATTGATTGATAAACTTTATAGTAATCAATTTGGTTGTTTTTAACAAAATTCTGAGTAAAATGTTTTAACTCTGTCTCTGAAAACTGCTTCAATATTCTCAAGATGAATAAAAGTTTTTCATTCAAATCAATTGAAAGTCTAAAATTAAAATTTTGAAATTGTATATAAAGATTTAGAACTGAAAACTTGAAAAACTTTTATAGCTTACCTTGTTAAAATACTAAGTGCATCTTCGCCATTAAAAATCGTTCTTGAAAGTAACCCTTTTGATAATGAAACAATGTCCTCATACAAATAGTTACCCAGCTTATTCCCCACAAATAGAGAAGCATCCCGGTGAACTTGTTCAACAAAATTCAGAATTTCAAGTGTTGCATTAATCGAAAGTTTTCGAACATCAACGCCAATTAAATGCTTTTCAATTTTATTAATAAAGTCTATAATTCTATTGTACCAATTTGATGAGACTCTTTCTTTCAGTAAAATCTTTAATTTTTTATGGTAGTCTAAGCCCATTAATTTCAATTTATTTGAAATATTCTGATCCTCAAGGAATATTTCACTCAAAAAATCATTTAGTTGTTTAAAATCTTGGATACCATTTTGTGAAACATATTCAGATTTTAAAAACATTTTATAAACATTTTTCACTTTTTGAATTGCTTGGGTTTCATTAGAAACAAGAATTTTCATTGTTTGCAAGTACTCATTTTCCTCTTTTAAAAGTAAACTAAGAAATTTTAACAACAATAAACTGTTTGCTTGATCAATAGCATTCAAAAATATTTTAGATGAATAAGAAGTTGTAGCTAGTTTTAATATATCTTTATATTGCTCTAACGGCTGTTTCTTTTCTAAAAAACTAAAAACTTCATCTAGAAAGTCTTTAGGGATTTTATATCTTGACAAAGTCATCTTTGATTTTTCAAAAAACATTGTGGTATTTTGATTTTTCAAATATTCTAGGAAAAATCTGTTGTCTTCATTCAATTTACCATGAAGAGTAACAATGCTACAAAATTTATACAAAACCTGATCAAGCGTAGCAGAACTGAGAATTTCATTTAAATGCATTTCAATATTTTCTGTAACATTCATATTATATAAAATATACTTAAGCACATTTGATATAAGCTTAACGTAATCTAAATCATCAGTAAACAATGTAATGCTGTTAGATATTTCATCAGGCACTTTACTTTGCTTAAGAAAGAAGTTAATAAACTGTTTTTCCCAATCCAAAATTAAAACCTTAATTGTTTTGTTATTACTGAGTTCTTCAAAAAAATTTATTAAATTCTCATCAAAAGTTCTATCAGGCCAATATTTCCACCTTTTTAAAAAATCTACAATGTTTTGAATAATTAAAGAGCACTTGGTCTTCATATCTGAAGAAAAATGCTGTGTTAGTTGATCAAACTTTTGTTGGTTAGGTGGTTTCATAAAATCAGAGTTAAATGAAGAATGTATTATATCAATAAAATTTTTAGCATGAGAAACAAATTCTCTGTTAAATGAACTTCCGCTAGATTCATTCAACAATAACCAAGCCATAGAATAAAACATATTAATTGTACTGTTTTTAGTGCTTGCAAGGGGAACATTTTTAATTGAATTTGAAGTTTCACTTGAATTAGAAATATATAATAATCTAAGAATAAAATCTGTTATTTCATCTTCTGTTAATCTATGATTTATAAATTTCTTGTACACATCTTCACCATTGCATTCTAAATTTGTAAAGTACATAAAGACAGAACTTTTAAGGTTATCAAGCATTATCATTTTTTTTTCCTTGCTAACATCAAGTTTGTTCAGTGCTTGTTCGGCAAACTGTCCAAATAAAGTTGATATAACAATCTTCACATTTTCAATATCATTTTCATATAGTGAAAATAAATTATTCAAAAAAAAGTTTTCTTTCATTATCTTAAAATGAACGATATTATCTTGCTGAATATTAAAAACAAACAAAGGTTCAAAATATGAAGTGTCATTTCGTTTTGTCTTTACAATATAATTATTTAAACTAAATTCAATTGAAAAAATTCCAATTGGTTGTGTTTTGAACTCAATTTTCTTTAATGCGCTATCTTGCCACCAAAAAGTAACAACTTCATATGATGGCAATGAAATTACATCATCAGATGGAATTTCTAAGAAAAGCAAAAAGAAAATTTTATATAAAATTAAATACCATTTGTATTAATGTTTTATGCAACAAGGCATATCTTTTCCATTCAAAATTATACATTCACTCTTATCCATTCAAAATTATCCATTCACTCTTATTCATTCAAAATTATACATTCACTCTTATCCATTCAAAATTATACATTCAATCTTATCCATTCAAAATTATACATTCACTCTTATCCATTCAAAATTATACATTCACAATTTTATAAAGAGGATTATTATTAAAAAAGATTTTTATTAAATAATTTTGTTGACATAAATACCTAGAAGGTCTTCTTCCGTAAATCTAGTGCGATTGAACAAATGCAAACTTAAACTCGATACATTATTATCAAATTCATAAGTAGCGTTGTAATTTAAATAATCTGTTTGAATTGATAAAAAAATATTTTCATCAAGGTTGTTGCTCAAAGATGTTTGATAACTGAATGTCTATGAAAAAAATAAAAAAATTTTTTTCAACTAAAAATTAAAATATTTAAATATTCAAACTAATAAAAAACTAATACCAAAAATAAAAATAAAACTATTTTTGCTACTAATAAAACTGACTAAAAGTATCAATAATAATAACCAGTAATATCATATGTAATTACAATAGACTACTTACACCATTTTTTTCCAAAAATTAAAAAAGGCCATATTATTTATGGTTATTGTGTGAAATTATAAGATTTTGGTTATGACTTGTGCTCGCACTATGATTGTTTTAAATTTCATTAAAAAGCTTAAATAATATCTAGTTATTTTTGTCAACTTATAATATGTTTTAAGGTGAGTTTCCACTCATCCGTTTTTCTACGGGAAAGGGAAAGGGAACAGGAAAATAATCACATGAGCATGCGTAATAAAAGTTTTTACTTGTCCGTAAGGAAACTGTGCAGGCTCACGTGATTATTTTTCCGTTCCCTTTCCCTTTCCCGTAGAAAAATGGATGAGTGGAAAATCACCTTTATAAACTATTTTTTTAAATGTTGATAGTTTACCTAATAACAAATGAAATACTAAAAGAGTCTTTCAAATATATGAATGTACTACTGAAACAGTCTTACTGAAAAATTTAATCAGCAGTCTTACTGCAAAACTATCCAATCAGGATTCTTACTGCAAAACTATCCAGTCAGGATTCTTATTGCAAAACTATCCAATCAGGATTCTTAATGCAAAACTTATTAAGTCTCGTCCTTTTTCTGTTATTGTTTTGAAATGCTCCAAAAACTCTTATTCGTCTAGTTTTTTTCCTCGAACATCAGTTCTTTGGAATAGTGGTTGCTTGCAGCCTTGTTTGAAGCAAAGATGTTTAAAAAAAAAATCCAATCAGGATTCTTATTGCAAAACTATCCAATCAGGATTTTTACTGCAAAAATTTTCTCCAACTAAAGATTTGTAATTATTTTAAATATTAAGGAATAAAGAAACAATATTTTCCACTTTTTATTGGATTATTTTTATTGAACTCTTACATTAAACCCTTACTGAGTCTGTAGTTTTTTTTTGTAAATTATTATAAAAAGTATATTTATATAACAACACAAGATCCATACTTGATTACCCTCTTGATTACTCTTGGTGGTTGTTGCAAGTAAAATCACCATTAAATTAAATCTCAAAAATTGGCTCTGCCTTGAAAAAGACTGCAATGTTTAATTAAAATTAGAGATATGATATCTAGATAACTAAAAAGGTGACAAATAAAATTAGAACTTGACTTGGGTATTGAAATCTACCTCAGGATAATATTTTCAATTATTTTTTATTAAGAACATCTTGGCCTGCAAAAATCATTTTTTTGACCACAAATATGAAATAAAACTTTTTTTTAAATAATTTTTTTAACATGTAACCTGCAAAAGAAAATGAAACAACAATGTTATCTTCAGAAATTGACATAATATCTATGTAGACAGCTTTGCATACATCTTACACCATATTTACGAATATATTATCATATAATATATTATCATATATTACAAGAAGAATTTTGTCTAAAATATTTTTATTTCAGACTTTTTACTGCAAAAATATTTTCACTTTTGCATAATCTAAAAAATTCAGCAGAAATGCCATCACTCATTTATCTACCATCACTCAAGCGTAGCTTCAACATATCACTTTGTAACCTGAAATTAGAAAAAATTACACAGCCTTCCTCAAATGCACTATCAATAATAAGAGCATGAGAAATTTTTTAGTTTATTTAAAATATTTACATGTTGACTGAATTTCAATGCAAGTTGTAATTTTTCTATAAAATGTAGCTTTGTTATCTCCTTTCACAGAAGCATTACCCACTTTATTGGGCAATCCTGCTATTAAATGTATTGAATTTCCGCTCTTCAATAAACAACATTTTAAAATATAATAAAAGTTGTGCTATATCATTTGATTCAGAATCACAGTTGTGGTTTTATTAAGTATTTAAAATGCAAGGCTTCTTTGTTCGCTCAGGAAGAATGATCTTTATTCTATCTTTGTAATATCTTTATTTGCTGTTTCCAGGAAGAATGATCTAATAACTATTTTCTTTGCACTTTTTAAGTTTCTATTTAATAATTGATATTCATAAACTTTACGAAGCTAATTCTATGAAATATAATTAGCAAGAAATTCAACTCTGAACAAATCAAGTGAAAAAGTAGAAAAATTATCTCTGCATTTAACAAGTTCTTGTTTTAAATTATAAGAATGTCTATAATACATACATAAACTGGTGACAAATAATTACTACAGCATAAATAAATAGTTTATGTTTATAAAACTCTCAAATATATAATGCAAACTTTAGCTAAAAATCTCTGAAAAAAAGGCTTTTTGAAACAAAACAATCATAAAAACAACAGACTTTATAAAATTTTTTAAATGTTTTTAACAATTTTGTTATTGCTTTGATATTGGGCTTTTTTTAAAAAAAAAAAAAGAATATAAAAAGTATGCAAATGAAGCAGTACACAACATAATGCACAATTTTTTTGTTAACTAAACTGTTATAGCACTTAATGTATATATCAACACTAATTTTAGTAAACTAATGAAGAACAAGTTTTTGTCCTAGCAGTTACTTAGCCATCACAAATAACTAAATTTTCTATTAACAAAATATATACAAAGTTCTCTCAAATCACTTTTTAGAAAAAAGAAATGTTTTGGACCTTGAGGAACTAGTTTTACAATTTGTAACAACACATTACATAACTACTTTTAATGATTAAAACAATTTTAAAATATCATTTTTGCCTGAAATATGAAGTTCACTTACTTTTATAATTATTTCAACATATCACTCTATTTATTGTAACAAATTCAAAAAGGTTGCAAATAACAATTTCATTCTTTACAACAAGGTTGCAACTAATACATTTATTCACAACAAAGTTGCAAGTAACCACTAATTAATTTGAGAACTACTAGAAAACTAAAAAAATAGTTACAGAGCAAGAAACCAGAAGACAGAAGACTTGAAAAACTGTAAATTGTATTTTTTAGGAAAACATGAAGACAGAAGAAAATTCCAAAGCACAAACATTTGTGGGGAAAAAAAAAATTTTTCCTACATGAGGGAACAGTTATAACAAAAATATACTTTGCTTGTTACAGTTAGTGGGGTCAAGGCGATCTCCATAGTTATTAAAACTCAGAACCACAGACGTTATTTTTAAGCAAACTGGAAAACAAGATTCGATTCATTTGATAAATAATTTTGAGAGTAACGAAAAGAATTCTGAAAAAAATCAAGAAATAACATAAACATCGGCAGCAGGAAGTTTGGAAGGAATGATTTGGACATTCAACAATGGATTAACCTGTTTCTTTGGGATGACAAAGTGTGATCATTAGATTTAGAGAGTTTTTTTCAAATAGTACTGCCTTATTTTTTGTAAAGGTAATAGAACTAGACTAGACCTGAGATATGAGAGTATAATACACTTGCTTCTATTAATAAAATTGTTAAAATTTTTCAAAAAATATAAAATGAAAAAGGTTAATAAAATATAAGATTTAGTGATCTGAGAATAATGGACATTTTTTTCATAGTTATTCTTGTGGAAAAGAGTTTTAAAAAAATTAGAAATAGCAACTGCACAAAAAAAAAATTGTAAGGTAACCATGGGAACCATTAGGTAGAATAAAAAATGAGGTAGAGAGAGAATTTTGTCCACTAAAAAAAAAAAAAAAAAAAAAAAAAAATTTGCTGACTACCATGATGACATTTGCCAACCAACGGTCTACATTACCGACTAACCTATCAGGCCTCAGCGGGAAGCGAGAGCTTTAGCTCACGGGAAAGTATAATTTTTCTCATGAAGGTATAATTAAAATTACAAAAGAGTGCTAATTTAAATGAGGAGCAGCTCGCACAGCTCCCCAAATTTGTTTTAGGAGAGCTTTTCTCAGCTCTCGTGCTCATTTGTTCCCGCCGAGGCCTGCCTATATTTGCCGACTAACTAGTCTAAAAGGGTCCAATTTGCCGACTAAGGGTCCAATTTGCCGACTAAAAATCATTGATGGGGGGTGTAACACTCCCCCACACACCCCTATCGCGCCGGCCTTGTATACCATTATTATACTTTCAGCAAAATAATATTATGGATTCTTATGGTCCAAAAACTAAAAACTTTTTCAAAACTTATAATCTTTTCTATAAAATACAAAACTTAAAAATAAAAAATATAAATAAAAGTAAAAAAAAAAATTTTTAATAATTACAAACAAAAAGCAACAAAAATTTCAAAGAAATACACTGTTGAAGACTTGTTTGAATGTTTGAGAATTCATGTAAGATATTGCAATTGAAGCTTTCTCATGATGTTCCATCAAATCTTTTACAAGTAATAAATTCAAACCATAGAGCTGTCCAGTGCACTCAAGTTTCTGTTTATTTTTTTTAAGACTAATATATGCATGATCAACTATTTTTAAAACTGTTGTAGAGAAATATTGATTTCTTGAATGATTCAATGAAATAAACTCTTCCAAAACACCACCTAAAAGTTCATAAATATTTAAACCACTTCAAATTAAAATATATAAAAATATTTTATAAAGTTTACTGAAAAAGATACCAACCTTTTGATAATACATTTAATTTAACGTTGTTTGAAAACTCTTCAACATGTGAACTCAAAGAATATCCATATGTCTTATTTAGGAATATCCCATCAACACTAACTTCTTGTAGGGATGAAGAGTTTTTAAATTTCAAATTAAATTTTGAAAGAGAATCTTTCAAGTAAAATGAAACAAAAATATTAATCTGATCATCTGAATATTTTTCAATATTACTGGCTACTTGAAATAGTTTTTTTTCTGCAACATATATATCAGAGTTGAAAACTTTGCTGTTCCAAGAGAAATTATTTTTTAAAACCGTTTTTGATATTTGAAGAAGACTTGAAGCATAATTTAAGCCATCAATGGTAGCCAGGTTTGCTTTCCATGACACTGGGTTTTCATTTACTTTTGCATCCAGCTATAAAAAATAATTCATAATCATTATCATCATCATCATCATCATCATCATCATCATCATCATCATCATCATCATCATCATCATCATCATCATCATCATCATCATCATCATCATCATCATCATCATCAATCATCATCAATCATCATCATCATAACTAAAACCTACTGTTATAACTTTGTCTTCTGGGATCCATACACCAACTGCAGTTATACGGTGATTGAAAGGTTGAGCATTTACAGTTCCTTCAACTTTGCAGTTAGCAATGTCAATCCTACCAGATCCTTTAATATCTATGCTATTTCCATGCGTAATATTAAGCTCTCCAACTAAATATGGAAGTGATGGACTAAAGTATCCAGAAACTAGTGAACTCGTAGTCGGGTGTGATAGCTCAAATGTTAGAACTTGGGGATTGTATTGTATTTTTAAATTACCAGCAATTACTCTGCCAGGTAAGTATTCAGTTTTTGTACCAAGAGCCCAATAATCATAGTTAGTATTGTAAAATGATGAGTGTTTCATATAATAATCTCCAAAGTTTAAATTGATCACTTCACCAATAGCTTTGTTTAATGTAAACTGATCACTTTGATTGTAATAATGCATAAAGAGTGAAAGCGGTGTTGTAGTAAAGTTGCAATTTATTGATGTTTCAAACTCATTTGTAATATTATTAAATCTATATAAAAAGTTTAACTTTTTAATCAATATCTAGTGAAATTTTATTCAGAAAGCATACCAAAAGAATCTAGTGAAATTTTATTCAGAAAGTATACCAAAAGAAACCAATACAATTAAATCCCTTTAATTTCTGCATCTGCTAAGAACTTCTCTCAATAAAAGAAGAACTTCTCTCAACAAATATTTAAGTTGTATCATCAACAACAGTTAATTAAAACAATTTTGAAAAAAAGAAAAAAAAAAACTAGGGATTGTCCATAAAGTAAGTATGCTGGGATGGGAAGAGGGGGTATGCAAATGGTGTATATGAGATGGGAGGGCAATGGGTCAATTATAAAAGAAAGGAGACACTAAATTAAAAAAAAAATCATAAAATGTTGGGTAGGTAGGTTAAAAGCAAAGGTACTTTAAAGGAGGTGAAGAGTACTCAAAAAAGTGTATAGCAAAATGTGGGTAGGGGTAAGAAGGGAGCGGGTTGAAACAAAAGCGTATGTACTTTATGGACAATTCCCAAGGCACTATACTCTTAAATTAAAAAATTGCGAATGAATTAAACATTTAATTGAATAACTAACTATTTAAGCTAATCATTTGTTAAAATAAAAAAAGTCTTTTTTTAAACAAACTTTGTGATCAAAATATTTAACTAAACTTTAAACATCTCAAAGTTTAAAACTTTATATTTTGCTGTGTGTTCTTTAAATAAATTTAATTGGTGCAGGGTGTTTGAGGGTGCAGAAAATTTTTGTTAATTTTTATTCATTTGAGATAATAAAAATCATAAACTTTATGTGCAATAAACTCATTTGTTAGTTGCAACTGATGTTAATATTTAAGTAAGCAGTAATATTTTAACTGATAATATATTTATATAAGATTTTTGTTTTAGTTGCTAACTTGATATATACAACTGTAGCTTTAGTTGACAACTTTATAATACTTGTTGAAAATAACTTAAAGTGAAAATTATAGGGTAAATGAGGTTATAAGGTTAGGGTGAACTTTAAAATATCACTAAATGATTTTTAATTTTACATTTTGGATTTATTTATCAAAAAATGATATCTATAGATATGTTGTTTTTAAAACAATTTCTGTTTTTAGGATAGAATACTAAAAATAATCTTTATAAGTTAGTGAACAAGCTAAAACATAATAAGTTAGTGAACAAGCTAAAACATAATAAGTTAGTGAACAAGCTAAAACATAATAAGTTAGTGAACAAGCTAAAACATAATAAGTTAGTGAACAAGCTAAAAGTGGCAACCAAAATCTGCTAAAACAGATGTTAATGTGCAATGAGAAAAAAATGATAAATTATGCAACAACCTTCAAAACTTTCCACAAAAGCAAGTAAAATAAATAAAAAAAACTGGAAAGTGGACCAAAGAAGCACACTACAGGCAATCCTAGTTGTGAATAAGAGTGTGAAAGGTTTCAAAAAAATTCAGAATATATCTACTTGATCGAAAAAAGTTCTTATATAGACTTGCTAAAAAAGTATATAAAAATGTAAAAGACAATGAGGTTTTCTTGTCAGCAAGACTTTAAAACTTTTAGACTGTTGATCACATACTTTTACTTTTAATATAACTTTTAAACAACATAAAGTATCTGTTTTCCTAAGGAAAAGCGTTTTTCAAAATCTAATAGTTGTTCATTTTAACATTTTTTGTTTCAAAAATATATCTTCTAATATAAATTCAATATCCACATATGTGTATTGGTAAAAAACTAGTAACTAACAATTATGAAATGCCTTTTTGTGGCCATCTTAAGGGGTAACTTTGACTTATCATTTAGTTTTAAATAAATGAGTCATAGATAAATTTTCAAGCCTTAAATGTTTATTTCATGGATATTATGACCATATTTTAATTTCTACATAATATCCTTCTAACTTCTACTTTATCATTTATAATTCAAAAATAACTATGAAGTCACCTTATAATTCAAATATAACTATGAAGAAATACAAGCAAAGGTTCAAAATTCAAATAAAAATAACTTGAGATTAAATAATTCAAGTGTGATGCTCAATTTAAAGGAATTTAACTGTGTTTAAAATAGAATGTAACTACAAAAAACAAACTTGTATTTCAAAGTAATTCCTTTGCGATTTTCTCCAAATGATAACGTAACTAAACCATGATCTTGAGAACTTTTTAAGCCAAGACTTATGAAGTAATTTCTTTCAATTGAACTACCTGGTGTGCTTAAGGTTAAATCATACAAATTATCATGTTTTATCAAGTGAAATGAATACTTTTTTAACAAAGCATCCTTGGGATAATTTATAATGCCTAATTGGACTGGACCAGTCAAAGGAAAATATGGCATTGATTGATTATAATAGCCATTTGGAAAGGATAAGTTCATGCACGTATCAGATCCAAAAATCTCTGTGCTGTTTACAATATCATCAAGACATATGTCAATCTAGACAGAAATATATATCATTTTATCAATAAAATTTCTGAAATATTAAGTAATTAATATACTTGCAGTTTATGTTTAAGTTTAAATAGCAGTTGCGTTTAAAAATTTCTTACCGATGATCTTTTTTCAATACCTTTCATTGTTTCTTCCTTCCCAGTGAGAACATGAAACATGTTATAACTTGCAAAAAAAAATTAACTTCTTTAAAAAATTTAATTGCTTTATAAAATAATAAATAATAACAAACAATTAATTTTTAAAAATAATAAGAATATAAAAAATAAACTACAAAACTAGAAAAACTAAAAAGAGAAAACTATAATAAAGATTTTAAACTAAAGATTTCACACAATTTGTTTACATGCTCACCATAAATTTTGTTTGAGAGATGATAAATTATTTTTTTAAATAATTTCTTTTTTTTTTTTTCATTTCTGTTTATTATTATTTAAGGGAAAATCGTAATAAGAAGAATATATATTTCCAAATTGCATAACTTCAAAAACAAATAATAAAAATTCTTTAATATAGTTCATTTCAAAGTACTTAATTTTAAGATTATATGAAACTGGAAAATAAAGTTTGATGTGAATTGTTCATGTAAATTTAAAATTTTATATAAAAAACCTAAAAATTCAAATTAAAAGTTCTTTTTAAATAAAGTTTGATGTGAATTGTTCATTTAAATTTAAAATTTTATATAAAAAACCTAATAATTAAAATTAAAAGTTCTTTTCTAAAATTATATTAATTGCTTTTATATAATGAATATACAAAGATTATTCCAATAAATAATCTTTGTTGTTATTTTTTAAATTTAATTATTACTTATGCATTTTCCATAAACCACAAACAAAGATTGCTACTACAGAACATAAACTTCTTTAAGTGTGGTTGTTGCTTAAATCTAACAACATTTAATGGCCATATAATTTGTGTATCTTTTTTGGTAGCTGCAAATTGTTTGCTTGTATTTTCTTTAGAAAACATGCTTTGTTGGTCAAATTCTTTTTTTTTTTATTTGTTGTTAATCAAATTTTTTGATGTGAGTTTTTGGGGATGGCTTAGACAACATCAATCCACAATCAACAGCAAAGCAATAATAAATGGTTTGTTTGTTAAAAAAAAAATACTAACAGGAAATGAAAGATAGAAATATGGTAGACATTTTTAACAAAGTAATGTCCAATTAACTAGCATCTACTTAATTGATCACATTTTTGCATAATCAGCACCAATATCAACCTCCCTTCTATGATTGATTTTCCAAATTCTTAACCTATTGCCTTTTTTAAATTTTTATTCTGTATTATGAAAATAATTGTTAAATAAACCAAACTTTATACATTACTGAAGATACTTAAGGAAACAGACACTTGCATTTTTAGACTTTGTCTAAATATAAAATGGATCATTAGAAGAACCTGCAAAAATGAACATAAATACAAACAGCTCATATGACAACAATATTCTATAAAAAAGCAAATAGGAGATTTATAGAGGTAGAAAACAGATTCCGAGGTAAAAAAATAGCAAATATAAGGATAAACATGCAAATTGATATGTAAGTATATGCCCAGGCCAAACACTGTACGAGGTTTTATAAATCAAACGATGATAGCAAAAAAGATTGATATCTAATAATGAAACAGCCAAAATTAATTTTACAAAAAGCAAGTGGGTCTGATGAATTTTACTAAAAGTAAGATTTAACATATGAATGGTTACTTCAAAGACCACAACATTTGTTAAAGATAATTTGAAATAATTAGCAACAATACTATTTTTATGTTTAGGTACTCTATTTGTTTTTAATAACTGAGGAATTAAACTCAATCATAGAGAGTGTGACATTCTAAACTCAGAGTGTGTAACATTCTAAAAAAGTCTTGCAAACCAACTCAAAGTTGTAACAAAGCACTTCTTATTTGAAAATACATTAACAAAGACAACAGTCATGCACAGCATAGCACTGTTAATACACTGATAAATTATAGCTATTGGTGAAATCATTCTCTGGCATTTATCCGTAAAACTTTAAAGGTTCAAAAATATATTTTTTTAAAATATAAAGAAAGTTAACATAGATTCAGATTGTAAAAACTTTACAATCAAATTGTATATTACAAAAAAAAAAAAAAAAAAAAACGAGAAAAAAACGTTGTCATAAAAAATACCTGACATTGAATAAATCATTGACTTGTTTTTCTGCATCAAAATCAATTTTTAATTCTTTTCCTTCAGCATACTCTGCTTTAGCACTGATTTTTTTAGCAGCATGCATGTTCATCTTGAAGGATGTACCAATCTCTCCTACACCAATGCATTCAATATTTAATTTAGCTGAAACATGGGTTGATACACTAAAAGTAATGAATTCTAAATATTTTTGTGAAATATAGTATTTTAATAACATTCATAAACATTTTAAAAAAGCATCAATAAAACTTCATTCTAAATAAAACTTCAACTAAATTTTAAAAAGAACATTTTTTTTTATTTTGTTCGCGATTACCTGGGATTTAAATAAACATCAACAGTTGCAGATTTAGTGCCAAATAAAATATTTTGAGTTGATAATTTTGCCTTCAAATCAAATGAAACTATAGATGAACCATTTACTCCAATTTTTAAAGGTAATCCAAGAATTGTTGGTACAGAATGAGATGCTTCAAGGAGAATCATATTTTGCTTAAATGTACTTTGCTTTCCTTTTGTGAGTTCATACACCCCCTTTATGATGTTAAGATCATCCCATTGACCATTCAAAAATGGTATGTCCTCATTACCAAATGTATGAATATCATTGTTGAAAATTTTTAAATCTATAGAAGCATGTGGAACAGGTTTTCTCATATTGACCTGAATATTTAAATATTCAATATAACAACTATACACTCTAAGCATACATACTCTCAACATTTATACTCTCAACACATTCTCAGCATATTTATTATAAACAAATATTCTCTTAACACATATATATATATACTCTAAATAAATATACTCTCAACATATTAACTCTAAACATATATACTCCCAACATATATACTCTCAACATAAATACTTTCAATAAAAATACTCTCAATATATATACTCTCAACATTTTAACTCTTAACATTAAGACTCTCACCGTACATACTATTGATATATGTACTATAAGCATATATACTCTCAATATATACGTACTATAGGCATATATACTCTCAATATATGTACTGTCAACAAATATACTCTCAACATTTACACTCTCAACATATGTACTCTTAAAATATATACTCTCAACATATATACTTTCAACACATGTACTGTCATCATATTCTCTGAACATATATACTCTCAACAACTCTCAACATATATTTTGTCATTAATAAACATATATAACAGCTCTCAACATTTCAACATCTCAATAATTCTTGGTATTTTAATAAAATATAGTATTTCAATAAAATTTTATTTCAAAACGTACTATTTTCTTTAGAAAAGGTTATTTGTGGCCTACATAAAACCACATCTGAGAAGAGATATTGCTTTACCTAAGCAAGTTCAAAATTGTACAAAAAAACACGATACTTTCAAAAAAGCATCTACCTAATAAAACCTGATTATAAACACTTGGTATTACCATCTGTGTAAAACCTGCATTAAGCAATTTAAACTTTGATATCATGGTCAATTTTCAAACTCCACAATGTTGTGAACTCTTAACAGGCATCTTACAATTTGAGAGATGACAGGCAATGTCTTAAAATCTCTTTCTCTTCTCTACAAATACTACCATAATTGCTGCTTAAACAAGTTATCATCTCTTGTTCCATCAACCAAAACACAATATCACATGACTTGTCATCAGGCAAAGTCTCATTTTTTTTACAGTATCTGTCCCTTGCTCTAAAGACCTTTACTCATCTAGTTTTTTTTCCTTGCACATTAATGCTTTAGAATCCTTTCCCCATTACAGTAATAGTGTTGCTTGCAGCCTTGTTGGAAGTAAATTAGATAAAAAAAAAACCTCTTGTTGTCTTTTTATGATTGAAAGATTTTATACATATGGAGCAAACTTCAACACAGAGTAATTTTGATCTGCAAAAAAAGTTCTGTTTCCAACATTCAAACTTATAAATAATTTATAAATTTAAATATAATTTATAAATTTATAAGAAACTTTAATATATCTCCAAAATAAATAAAAACATCTTGATTTTTATTGTGAATAACCAGATAAACTAGAGCAAGATAACAACACCCTTAAAAGCAAGTGTAAGTAAGTAACTCAGCTTCACTCTAATGCAATAGCTTTAACAGATTGTAAAATTTGTTATTTGCTATATTGCTGTTATGCTGGTGAACTGTGCTAGCAGCACAGCTCACCAGCATATGCCATGGTTGTCCCAAAACTTATAATAGTTGTAATCTATTCAGCTTAAGTTTAAAGTAAACTCAGCCTTTTAAATAAGAGCAAACCATTATCAAAGAACATTCCTAGTTATGGAATTTAAAAGAACAAAAAACATTTCAAAAATATTGAACAAATCCGTTGTGAAAAACTTTTGTCCTCAAGCTGTTATTCTACCTCTAATACACACAAATCTTCCCTCCTTTCCTCCTCCATTTAAAAAATAAGAGTATATAAATGCACACACTCACAAACTTTACCCTTTTCTCCCCTCTCCTCCTCCATTCAAATAGTAAATGTAAATAAATGCAAACAAATATCTATTATATATTATGTATAGTGCCTATCTTATTTTTAATATTTAATTCTAATGTATTATCATGATTTGTACAATAGAATCTATTTCTAATAAATTTTATTTAAAATACCATATTGTCCAATTCTTCAAAGTATGATGGTTTAATATCTCTTCTCTTTTTTTGTTTCAACTCCATGTTTGGCAAATTAAAAGCTTTTCCAAAATAACTGTCAGTGTAATCCTTATCACCAAAATATTTTTGCATTATACTTTCCAGACCATCTAGTCTTGCATTAATTTCCAAAGCATTTACTGAGAATCCTAACATGTGTGTAGTGAAATTAAGTCTCAATGCCCGTGGAACAAAACTTTCAGGATGATAAAGGATCATTGCATCAATTGCTGCAGATGTCTGAACTAAAATTATCTTTAAAAATTACAATTTGTAAATCTATAAATGCAATAACAAAACATTAAAAAAAAAAACATACATATATTTGCCGACTTTTGAATAAACTTGGAGTATTGGTATGCTGAGGGGTTAAAATCAATCAAAGGATATTTTTCAACTGTTTGTTTGAAAAGATTTTTCAATCTATTTAAAAAAATATTGAACAGAATAATATAATAATAACATTTCTAAGAATTAATTTATAAAAAAAATAACTCATATACTTTTGTTTTGTTGGATCTTCATTTGATGCAGCACTTTTTAAAAAAGATGTAATAAATGACTTTACTTGGCCAGATTCTTCTTGATCATTTGCTAGATCAATTGCAAGAATTATATCCTCACGACTTGGATTTTTCATTAGCTGCAAAAAGATTTCTGCTCTTTTTTCAAAATCTTCACTTTTATCTGCAAGAATTTCTCTTAAATTTTCAATAACAGCATCTGGAATTTTCATTTTTCTCATTGACTGTATTGCAGCAACACTGACATTTGAATGCTTTGCATTACGTATGCAATCCATTATAAGTGGCAATGCTTTAACTGATCTCCCAATGTTTCCAATGCCTTTTAATGCAAAATAAATGTCGCTAAGCACAGCACTATTTGTTACCTGACAATTATTTCCAAGCAATCGCAGAAGGTAGTATTCAACATCTTCAACTACCTTTCCAATATCTCCCTTGAAAAAATTATTTTTAAATTATCTATAAAAAAATTATTCATTATGTCACAAAACTCCAATATCTTCCTTAAAAAATTTTTTTTTAAATATCTATTTATAAAAAAATTATTTTACATTGTCACAAAACTTCAATATGTCTTTACAGTAAATAATAAATCTTTAAACTTTAAAATCAAATTAAGATTTTATAAGAACTTTATAAAAAATATATATTTATACCTAAGTAAATGTTTTTTAATTGGCTGTTTATATAATTTCACAAAAAAACTTTTTCTCAATGAAAAGTCTCTTTAGATATGTTCATTTATGTCTACCTAATAATTTTCACATTTTATGATGTTAAAGTTGTAAATGATTAATTGATGTTAAAGTTCATAATAATAAGTTAATTTTAAAGTTCATAATGTTGTACTAATATTATTTGGTAGTATTGATAATTTTTTGTCAAACTTTATCATCTATAAAAATTTTGGAGCTTTTCATTAATTAAATGAAATTAACAATTTTTTTTTTTTTGCTTGAAACAGTGTTAAATTAAGGATGGTTAGTAGCTAGGGGGCTATAGCCCCTGGCTCTGCAGTTTTGGAGGCCCTAATTCTAAGTATAGTATTTTTTTAAAAGAAACTCTGGAAATAAAACTCTTGATTAATAGTATGGATAGTGGCTTCTGCATTAAAATAGCCCCAGGCCCCAAAAGATTTTTGTCTGCCACCGGCCTAAAATATGACAACGTCATTTGAAAATGTGACAATAATTTTTTGAAAATGTGACTATAGTCATGTAAACATGTTATTGGGTCATTTAATAGACCATAAATTCCATAAAACTTATCATATTAAAAAAAAAATTTTTTTGAGAATTTTCTTTAAAAAAAAGCTACAAAATAACATACAGATGTGCTGCACTCTTCAGCTCTGTGTAAACAGAGTTTATGCACCAAAGTTGATAAAGCTAATAACATTGATGGATTTTTTGTTTGTTGGTGTATTCCCTAAAATAAAAAAATTTTAAATTTAGAATAAAAAGAAAATTGAGTTTTTGCTATATCAATTTAATTGGTATAGCAAAAGCTATATAGGTAGTTTAAATCTAATTGAGCACTCTCTCATATTACTAAAATCTAATGAGAAATTACTAATGAGAAATTACTAAAATAATGAGAAATTTAAATTATGTAAACTACTTCTATGCAGAATATGTAAAACTTGTGTAACCACAAAGTTATAATGTTTTTTGTAATATTTTGTAATAGTTATAATTTTACTTTAACTTTGTATAAAAAATTATACAAAGTGAAAATAAAATTTAAAAAAATTTTTTTTTTTATTAAACAAAACTAAAAGAAAAGATGATAACCAATTCAAAGTCTGAAAATAACAATACTGTATGATAGTTACAATTCAATCTGTTTAAACAAATAAAATTTAAAAAAATAAAGATTGTGTTAGTATATAATTAAAAGAAAATGCAGTCAAAAATTTGTATGTTAAATCACAAAGAATATTAGTATTTGCCAAATTTAACTTTCAGTATTGAGCCATAATTGACTTTTAAAGACTTGGATTTAACTGAAAGAAAAATTTAAATTATATGCATACCCTGAATTAGACTAAATTTATAGGTGAATTTGGAGTTTTATAACAAATTTTGAAAGCTGAATTTGGACTTTTATACTGAATATAATTAAAAGTGGAATATGGACTTCAAAACCAGCATTTAACTGAAAGCCAAACTATGACTTTTTACTAAGTTTAACTAACTTGTTATGCACTTACTAAATTACTATGCATTGAATAATATTTACAGATGTTTTGATTGATAATATAAACATTAGATTGATAATATAAATTTTAGATAATATATAGATAATATAAACATCAGTTAAGCTTACAATATTATCAATCGAAAAATTCATAAAAAAAAAGTAGAAAACCATATAGACAATAAGTTTTTTTGCGAACAAAAACATTACATAAAACATATATAAACATTATTACTTTTATAAAAACAATGAAAGAGGAATTTTGAATAATCAATTTTTATAAACCAAAACTATTTTTAAATAGACAAAAAAACAAGTTAAACTAAGTAACTTTTTATTTTATTAAAACGTATTTGCAATTTATATTTATATAAATTGCAAATACGCTTTAATAAAATAAAAATATATATAAAAAAAATTAACGCTTACAAAATACAAAAACAACTTGTGTCTAAAACTTAAATTTAAAAATGTAGCATTAATGAGAAATAAGGTTATGAAATCTTTACAACTAACTAACTAGTATATGACCAGTGTTGAAATTTGACCAGAGCTAGGACCAGGGCCAGGTTTGATAAAATTTGCAGGGTTTGTGACCAGGGCTGTATAAACACTGATACTTCTTAAAGTATATTTTTTTAATTCAAAAATCATACTGTATTTTATATTTATATGCATGTGAATATAAACATCATCACAATCATGATGATCATTATTATCATATCATCAGTATCATTATCATCAAGCTTTATTCTTCCCCTTTTTATGGAACTCTCTCTAAGTTTTTTTACTTCTACCATTTTCTCCTAATGATCTTCCCTCTCTACATGCTGATACCCAAACTACTACATGCTGATACCCAAACTGCTTTTATCT